GTGCGCGAGAGCATTGTCCCCCCGCCCCGAGGCCGCGTGTTTGATTAGGAGGGAACGGGACGCGTGTTCACTCTGCGGGCGCGGAAGCTGCCGCGACACATTCCGGCTCCCTTCGCGTTCTGCCGCTCGTGCGTGTACGGTAGTCAGAGTCTTGCACCAGCCGGGTGCCTCGTGAACCGTAGTGGGGGAGGTTACCATTCCGAGCTCGCGCGATGGGCACGGCACAAAGCGTACGAGAGAAGTGATCGGAATTCATTCCCCAAAACAATTCATTCCCTAAAACAATCACTCCAACTACCATCTCTCGCGTCACGCCGCCTCCTGATCTTACGCCTATGCCTCCTGCGCAGTTTCTTTTTCCGCCCGAAATCGAGACACGAACTGTTACAGCCCCCCTAACAGAACTTCTTCTCGCATCAACCATTCTATCCCCATTGCACCAATCAACGGCCGTACATCTGCAATGAACGACTCCTTTTTCTCCCAAGCAATTACACCTTGGAATCGCCTCCCCGACTCCATAGTTGCCACGCCTGACCGCACATCATTCCGCGCGAAATTGGAATCCCACTTTGATTCCACCCAATAACCCATGGCTGTATAGATATATCCTACCAGCGTACTGTATGCATATTTTTTTTGCCATGTTGTTTGTACTCTAATTCCCAGTCAAACGTTTTTTTTTTGTTTATTGTTTGATTAGTTTTTGTTGCCGTTCTTAACCAAACTACCGTATGCGTATTTAGAACTGTATTGTTTATAATGATTTGTTCACATTGAATTGTACACCCTCATAGCGTATTTGTTGCCCCCCCTCCCTTATGTAGCCCTCTCGGGCCTTTAAGGATGCAATAAATGAAATGAAATAGAATCCATTGTGAATCGTGCGGTCGCTCGTCAAGGGACAGTAAGTTGCGTGGAGCAGATTCAGGTGACTATATGGGTTAGCGTATTTTGCCTCGAATCATCGCGTTGGAACTCTGCAGGAATTTGAAGGACGCTGACATTCGCTGAACTTCGCACGGAGTATTAATCGGTCTAATTTTGCGCGTGTACAGGTGGTTTCACACTTGCAGGAAAGCTCGGGGCGCATCGCAGGGGGCTGCGAGTTATTCACTAAGTGTGAAACAGTCCATGTAGGTTATCTTTCACGCTTTCGTGAGATAACGCTCGCTTCCTGTAATCATTTTCAAATGATTTATATATAAATGCACGGATTCTTGCAATACAGAGTGCTGAATTGGCGTATACAGCAGTGTTACATATATATGCATAGCGCTCGTTCTGCTGCGACCTTGCACTGCTTCGATTTGCTTAGAAGCACCTCGTCATTCGCCGCACAAGCTTCGCCGTTGGCATGCCTTGCCGCTGTGTGTCGTGCTAGGAGTAAGAAGCCCGGCCTGCGGTGCGCGGCCCTGCCGAGAGAGCCGGTCCAGTCTCAGACGAGAGACGTGTTAATCATTGCCCGCAGTGGTGTAGATATATCGCCGAAAAACTGGATTCGGTTCGGAGGGACTTCCTGCAAGTTTGGCGCTGGCCGTCCGCTTCATAGCTGCGCGTTGCGTGTCTTCTGGGGGCTTTGCTACGTAGCGAGGTCCGATAAGCACAGGACAGAGATAACACTGATACATGGTGACGGATGACCTTTTTCTCTCTCTCTCGTCATAATTTTTTTTTTCGGGCATTGATGCGCTGCCTGCCCGCGACATGCTGTGCGATAAGCGCTGAGGTGGTTGCCCTCGGCAGTGAGAAAGAAGACACGCGATAAGTGGCACTTGCCAACGGACGTATGTCCTCTCCGGCTATGGATTACCTGTTAAGCTGTATTCACACGACGGACAAAATTGCGATTGAAACCCGTGCATTAAATTATACGTCGCCATACTACAGCCGTTCCCACTTCGCGAGGTAGGATTCGGGAAATGACGGAGGCCCAAATCACAGTTGGGGGTCCTCAGGAAGCGATGCCGGGCTCCTCGCTTGTAGCGCGAATTCTCCACTGTCGTGTGAAGGCTGGTTGCGGATGGATCGGAATCACGTCACATTTCACGTGACTGGTTCGTCAACGACCAGGTCGGTTTTGTGAATACAGCTTCCGCAACCGCGCTATTTGTTTTTGTTCTTTGCCACGACCTCCCCACCCCCATCTTCCTCCCTGCATCGTCAATTCGTCCAGTTGCTTTTCGCCCCCCATTCCCGTTGAACCACTGGATGAGAGATTAAGGCTTAAAATTATGGTGAACATCGCGCTTTTTTTTTAATGTAACACATCAACAATTATTATCAAATCCACCCGCACCCTCATAATCTTTGACTACTGCTTGGATGTCAAGCATATGTAATGCTACGTGGCATATCTATTAGCAGTTTTGCCGAGGTACAATATAGGCCTTGTAGCAAAGTAAATTTCGCGAAAAAAAGAGAAGCAAACAAGCAAAAGGCGGACAATAGAGAAGTTAGCAGCTGCCCCGTCGTACGGCAAACGAGCGCCACACACAGTGGAGGTACCCTCGCTGCGGTAGCAGGAATTGCGCATCACGTGACACGACGTCACGGATTAGTGATTGGGTGCTGAAGGGCCACGCCCATTTTCGCTAATCCGTTACGTCGTGTCACGTTAACAGCAATCGGCGCTTCTCCCCTGTCGTGAGCCGAGTGTCCGACCCTTTCTTGTTTTTTTCTTCTAGTGTTTTCAAGGAGGGACAAGTATAAACAAATAACTTAACAGCCGTCCCGCCTCCGCGGTTTCTCACAGCTCCCCTGTCATTTCCTCGTTTCCATTGTCTATTTGCCGCTTCGGTAATCTGCAGCCTCAGTAAAGCCGCACAGGCCGGCGATTGGTCTTCGTGCCTGCACTCAAGCTCACCGTCTCGGACAACTGCGCCTGCCTGCTTGGTCACCCCCCACACGTGAGGAAGGAGACTGTGGGGACGACACTGTATAATGTATACAGAGATGCAAACGCGCGTTACGCGGTGCTCGCTCTAAATCGAGTCCTCGCGATACTCGGGGCTATTCCGGTCCGTATAGCATGGAAACTGCAGCGGAACGGTCGACCGGTGTGGACATGTTTGTCGAGCGGTGTATTGCCGGATGGACACGGCCGCTTAGTCGTGGCCGCTATACTTAGCACAGCCCAGCTATGCGGCGTTCCGGATGATCGCTCGAGCGCTTTTATTGTGCGGACCTTCCGAGGTGCGCGACACGGCGGGCCGCATGGCACCGCAGCATGAGCGTTGGCTTCACTGTGTCAGTGTGTATGTCTATCCGTTTGTGTGTGAGTGAGGAAGAGTAGTGGCGCGTGTGTGGTGCCCTCTTTGAAAGCGAGCGATCGGTCGTGCCTTTACGTGTGGTCTGTCGTCCGCAGGGACTGCGGCGTTCAGCTGTCGACTCAGAGGCCGTTGCTTCCATTGCCGGCTGTCTGATAACCTGTATACTTCCTTGTTCATGCACTGCAACAGCATGCGCGCAAAAGAAGTCCAACGAAGGGGTCGAGTCCGCGGAAGCAGCATTATATTGCGCGTGATTCGCTGGCCCATCCATGTCGGCGAGGCGCACGCGACGTAACCGCTTCGTGGTACGCCTTCGGGGCTTTCACACTTTTGCCATCCGTGTATACTGGCAGCGCCAGGGTCTTTGTCGGTGCTCCGTACCGATCCAGTGAAGACAAGGGGCTGGCCGCTATCAAGAGTCCCGATGTCGCGGATCAGTTGTGGGCTGTCCATGTCTGTGCGTTCAGTCGTGCACCTCAGGACTAGCAATTAAGTTTCGCATCCATTCATCCGCCCAGCTACGAAAGTACCGCGTATCTTTAAAGGGGGGCCTCGGAGAGTACACTTTTTGCAAACACAGGTGCAACCTTTCCGTATTACGTATCACTCGTGTGTTGCTAGGTAGAAAAAAAGAAAATTAAAAAATAGCATATCCACGAGGGAATGATGATGAGTGGGGCGAAGCTTTGGAGGACTTTATCGGCAAACTGTGAATCCTCTGTCTCTGTCTGTCCGCGTCTGCTGAGTGAGTCATAGAACTATAGGCGGTCACGCACCAAGAGAGACGTGCATGTTGTTATGACCGCCATCGGTAGGCGCCATGCTGTCGCTGAAAAGCGTAGCCGGGCCGCGTTCCCACGCCTGGAACCCAGGTTTTCTTGGAACCAGCGTCGAGAGCTGACGGGGGAGCGGCGCTCTTTTAATCCTCAAACAAGTAGCCGACTCGCCCAATGCCTATGCCCGGCAGGTATTGTCCCTGCTAGCCGGCGGATGAGACGTCACGTCGCCACGAAGCGGTAAGCCGTTCCAGAGGGGACAACAAAGACAGCGTATTCCTTTGAAGAAACGGCGACCGCCGCCACAAAGTGCCCTGCTAATTGAGCGGACAGATTGGCGGACCGTTTGATGTCTGCTGTCCGAAGCTTGGGACCCCTCGACCAGCGACATACACGACGAGCAAGAGCCTCTCTGGCGCCACCTTTAAGTGCAGTGATCTTGACTCGAAATTGGATGTTCACGTGCGCTGTGCATGCTCGTACCCCTCACCTGTTGTGTGTGTGTGTGATTGGTGTTCCACTGAAGAAGGAGGAGCCCGACAGGGCTTATAACGGCGCCGCAGAGTGCAGGACGTCGCTCTGAACCAAGTAAAGGTTCAACCACCACGTTCGTAGTTTGTGAAGGCTCTGAACTATGTAACGGTTTAACCACCACGCTCGTGGTTTGTGAACTCTTAACCTCATGCTGTAAATTTTGTAAATAGTGCCATAAACCTTGTTTGTTTTTCGTATCCCCATCTTGTAAGCGCTCGTTTCCTCAACCCGAAGCTACACCACGCTACCACAGCACCCCGGGACCCGCAACAACTGGTGATCAGCGGTGGGATCACGACAATGTATAGACTTACGGCCTAAGCAGCTTCGCCCCTAAAAAATATATATACGAATATATGACCGTGTAACTGTCGAAATCGCGCTATATGTATACGGAAAGGCGCCGAATGGTACTTACGGCATGCGAGGTCACGGCCGGCCGGACAAGCGCGTTGTTTTTCCGTCGCCTCCGCGACGAGTCGGCCTTGGGGCCGATCATTGTCGGCGCATCCGCTCTGACTCGGTGGCCCGCAATAGAACGAGCGAAGCCTGTTTGCATGTGATTTCCACTGCGATGATTGCATGTGTGTGCGCCCGCCCCTTCGACTGCATGCCACGCTCGCTCTCTCCCACCCTGTACGATAAGTTTCTAATTTGTTACGCTCAGCAAAAAATGCTAAAAACTAACGAAAAAAAAAGATATGACAAGTAAAGTTAGACCTACGTGCATTTTGCTCAGCGCAACAACAGATCGCCGTACCAACTGAAGCCCAAGTTGAAGCTTTGCCGAACGGTAAGTTTCGCCCTGCCGCGATGGTCTAGTGGCTAAGGTACTCGGCTGCTGACCCGAAGGTCGTGGGTTCGATTCCCGGCTGCGGCGGCTGCATTTCCGATGGAGGCGGAAATGTTGTAGGCCCGTGTTCTCAGATTTGGGTGCACGTTAAAGAACCCCAGGTGGTCGAAATTTCCGGAGGCCTCCACTACGGCGTCTCTCATAATCATATGCTGGTTTTGGGACGTTAAACCCCACAAATCAATCAATCAATCAAATCAATCAATCAACGGTAAGTTTGTCCTCACTCGCCGCTGTGTGTTGCTCATTGGCTACGATATCGTGCGAGTCTGGAAGCAATAAACGGTCGTGTACCGCGCACCATGGGTTCGCGCTCAACAGCACATTTTCTTCATTCGAAATACAGCGTGCCCGCGGAAAGTCCAGCAACTGTACTTTTTTTTTTCTTCTTCTAACTCATGCGGGCCCACTGGTGTTCTCTCCACCTTTTAGCGCATTCTGTTGTACATAAGCACTTTACACCTCGGTGCGCAACATTTGGTTTCATTCACATCCGCGTTCTTCGCACTGTGTCGTCTCCTGACGCGCGCCTCATTCTTGCGGCTGCTCTGTCCCGCGGAGGAATTGACCGGACGATGACCGAGAGGCACCGTTTAAGGCCGTATACGCGCGCGCAAGGAGGAGAAGGCGCAGCAGAGCGTCCTCTCGTAACGTTGTGGAATGCTTGTGGCGACTTCGAGGAGTGCTGCTAAGCTCCGTGGCGCATTTACTGGAACGAAGGCTACTCAACCGAGCAATGCATATTACAAAACACACAAAAAAGAATTGAAATAGATCGTTTGTTCTTCGTTTGTATGAAACACATACAAACGAAGACATGGCTCGAGTTGTCGCGGGGCTTTGTTTTTGCCGCGTCGTTCGCGCGAGCTAACCGTATAACTGGCGAGCGCTGAGTAGCTCACTTTTCCATCTCGTTAGCTCCGTTAACTGCGTTAGGGCGATCGCAAAGCCGTTCAGGCAGTATGCAGCGTCGACTGTCTCGAGCTGTAGCAAGTGCTCATTCAGTACCGTCACTTTCGTTTCCTTGTGCGTCCTTTCTCACTTCCTTTTTTCGTTTTTGCTTTCTTTCATGGGAGTTTATGATTAAGCAAGTTTCTTAACTGGCGAGTTGGACAATTGAGGGTTCGCAGAGGCTTTCAGTTTGGAAATACACGAGAATTTTCGTGTGCAGCGACTATCCCGGGAATGCCGTTGACGGCTCTCTAGCGAAAGGGTGCATGTCATAGATAGCATGCATCCTTAAAACATTCTGCAGCGTACACCTGGGGCACCGGCCATCACGCCGCAATATATACCGAGGATTCTGGAAAAAGTAACTTACCGACGGGTTTGACCCGTGGCTCATTCGCCAGTATCGTAGTGCTTGCTGGTTACGAATTCGCAAAGAAAAAAAAAGTTATATCTTCACTTATTGTGAAGAGCGCTTATTGTGCCACACACACCTACCATGGTAGTGTGGTGCTAGACAGCTGACCCGAAGGTTGTGGGATCGAATCCCGGTCGCCGTATTTTCGATGGAGTCGTAAGCGCTTGAGGGCCGTGTACATGGGGGTCAGCGGTATTTTGTCTTGAAAACCTGTGTTGCATCGTGCTTTTGGGTAAGCGAAGCGCTGGTGAGGGCGAAACGCTGGTGAGGGCGAATGCTGGTGTTGCTTTGGAGGGGGTGGGGGGCATGGCCTGGTGGCTTCGGTCTGGCAAGGTAGTTAGCTCCGAAGGCACGAACTGGGACGGATCACGAGGCAGCCAGAAGAAGGGCACGTAACCTTTTCTTTAATACAGCTTACTTTAAGATTGTATTCATTCCTTCATTATTATCCTGACAATTGTATCACAGACATCACGGCAGGCTGGTGGCAGTGTTAAAGTTTTTCATCAGTGGAGGCAACTAGTGGCATACTCGAGCACAATGCTGAATTTCTTGTTTTTTTGTTTCTTTTGTGTCATTCCTTTTCTGGCTATCAGTTTTCTTGTTTCATCTATGTTTTCGCGCTTTTTCTTTATCATCATATTTGTCGTTATTTTTTGTTTGGTTGTTCTTTACATTAGGGGACCCTGATTTATTGCGGATGGACTCCTTGAGCATTGAGTACATACGTACTCTCTTCAACGTTTTTCAAGCTCGTGATGAGGCTTCTCGTTTTTAGGCACCAATGCTTGACTGACATATGTAAAGTGCCTCTGCACGAATCCGTTGGTCTTGCCTGGTGGGCGGCTTCATTGCTACATTCACCGTATGTGTGGTATACGTAGCTGTTCACGTCATATCTGTGTAATTCTGCAATCAGTCTGCCGTGCTGGTGACAAAGCAAAAAAAAAATAAGAGGAGGGGCAAAAGTGACCTCAAGGGCATAGCCAGCTATCTTGTTTTCGTAGTCTATTGTATAAAGTAGCGCTTGCGCAGCGAGATATTTCATTCGTGAGTCGTCGCCGTATAGTGTCGTGACGTGCTTCCCTTCCAGCTGCCGCTCTCGTCTTTTCGTTCTCTAAGTAAACAGCTACGATACGTGCTGCGGAGTTCACTCTTCTTCTTATTCACGCGGCTGCAGTGGTCGTAGCACTTGTGCGTACAACTTTCTGCATCCGAGGAGGAGGTGAATCGGAGCTAGCATCCGGGTTTGGCCAAGGCGCGATTGCCGGCGCAGCGCAGCGTCACCCAAAGCGGCGCTTTGTACGCGCGCCGTAGAACGCGGCCCTAGAAAGCCGCCGGCTGCAGCAAAGCGGTCGGTGGTGAAGGGCCAACTCGGGGCAACGGCTCGCCAAACGGGTTCTGCCGCGCTCTTCTTCCTCCTCCTCGCTCGCCGCGTTCCTTGGCGCGACGCTGCCGACGCTCTTCGCCGCTGACGTGCTAAGGTGAAGGACGTTCGTTGCACACCGTCACACTTGCACTGCACCACCGGTCCAGGTCTGTTCGACCGCGAAGCCCGCTCGGTCCGAGGGCCACCTTCCCGACTATGTCTTGAAGTCGCCGCCACGGCATACCATCGCGAAGAAACGACCGTGGTATGTGGAGGAGGAAGCGGCGTACGTCGGCCCTCGACGTGGTGTCTGCCGAGCTCTTGCCTTTCTGAAAGACGTCGGCCATTTCGTCGGAACGGCGCGCCGAATTTGCGAGGACCCGTTCGCACCCCGTGCTTACGTGTCGGCCTGTGTTTTTCATTGCCTGCCTCGGAATAATACGTGCACGCACTCTTTGCTGTCCCGGTGTAGCAATCACATGACCGGCAGTCATGAGGTACCAGTGCATCAAGGTGAGTTGGTTGCTTCGCCTAAACTACGCGGCTGTTTCGAACCGTAAATGTCGCGGATCCTGACCTCGCCATTCTTTCGAGTATGGCTCTTTGTTGAGATTTCGACTGCCCAGTTATCACTGAGTTGCATTGGCATTCACGGCAGATACATTCGTTGAGATTTTGTCATTGCTTACGCGGCCTGCCATTCATTACTTGCTGTGCAGACCGAGAGTTCGTTCAGCCATTCTGTTCAAAATATCCACAGTGGTCTGGTGCGCTCTCTCAGGTAGGTGAGTGGAAACGAACGTTCTCGGTATAAAAACGCATCACTACTTTCTGAAACGTGGCGGTTCCGATGTTAACGTTGCTGCTATACCGTTACAATAACAATGATGTCTCGAGCAGTGTATCGGCCTCTCGCAACACTTGGCTATGGACATTTTTCGACGTACGACTATATACTTACGCTAAGTTTCGCAAGCTTATCCGCCGTTTTATAACGTAACAATTTGTGAGCGTTATTTCGTGACTTCCCGCGATGAGACGGTGTGAGTTGCAAATCGCGGCGTATAGTCGGTTTGATTCCCGGCCGTGTTCCTATGGCCGCCGAATGCAAAAGCGCTGGTGTACGGCTACCCGCAACGAAATCGACATGATCAAAATTAACGTACTGTCGAGTTCTGGGAGGTCCATTTGACAACTTAATTATGACAATGGCGAAGGCAGCTATACGTCTTCGTTCGGGGCTGTTCAGCTCTGTGGCACGTTTCGTATTGAATACACTACCTCCGGCTACATTTCAACGCTGTTTGCGTGATGTGCGTAGCCTTATTTCACGTGCCTCGAGCCCACGTTGCATGCGGCAGCCTCGCGCTCCGCCCACCAACGCTGACGTGTGTCCGCAGTCCGTTCGGAGAGTCCTGCACCTCAGCCTGTCGTCGGCTGTCAGGATGTCACAGTGGAGGATACCTGCTGCCGTTGTCTCTGCTGCCGCTGAACGGTGCCACAAACTGGGGAACAGGGAGTCTTTGGTACAGGAAGTGTTGCTTCTCTCTCTCTCTCTCTCTCTCTCTCTCTCTCTCTGTGAGTGTGTGTGTGTTCGTGTGTGTGTGTGTGTGAAAGAGAGAGAGTGAGTGAGTATATCCGTTGTTCTCCTATTTCGTGAGCTAGCATGTAGCGCAGTTAGAATATAGAATGCTATTGCCGACGTATAGCTACGTACACGAAACGATAAACTGCTCGTTGCATACTATGCGAGTGCATATCACTGGCCATTTGTGTTTTCCCCATTTAACAGAATTTACGAAGGCCACCAATTTTCAGGGGAAAAGCGGACTTTGCGGGGAGTAGTTTTGGGAATATTTGTTGATCGGCAAGGGCTTACGGGTCAGCTTAGTGGAGAGTGCACACGGATTGGCCTCTGGCTCCCCAACGCGGGTGCACAGACCGTGAAACTATAGCCCGTGCTTTCACTCCGGAAG